CAGCTGGCAGGGAAATCTGAGGTCTCTGCTTAGAGTCACTCTAAATACCAGAACATGATTCATGTCTAAAGGGGGAGGTAGACAAGCAGTCTCTCCTTCGTGTTAATAATAAAGCAATTATCAGGGTTGCACAAAATGCTGTTCCGGAGCTTGAAGACCTCTGTAAGAAACCACTTAGATGAACGGGCTAAAAAACACCACCTGATCAACCCTATTGAGCATAACAAGAGGGTTATATTAAAAGTCATCTGCTTACGTGCCCCCAAATCACCAGTTTTGAAAGCATTTCAAAGGCATTTCAGACATAACATTTACAGCAATGAATTCACCCGCAGAGCGGCACGGCGCTCATTGGCCAAACTCGAGCTCTTTCATAATGCCATTTGAAAAGCAAAAGTATTTTCCCCTTGGCTGAAGTTTTGCCTTCAGAACTTTTCGCCACRGGGAGCAGCCCGAACCACTCGACCTGCAGTGGGTCGAGTCTGTTGATGACTAAGCCAAGGAGCATTTCTGCAGCACGCAGCAGGGATCGGACCCCTTCCCATCAGCGTTGGGCACAAAGGACTGGGAGGGGAGGTCGTCGTGAAAATTGAGTATTTTCTTGAGTATTGCTTACAAATATATATATAAAAATAAAACAGGAAGACTAGGAAGAGCCACAAGTACTTAGCCCAGGAGCTTGTTTCATTAGCAGGACGAGGCATGTTCAATAGCAATTAAGCACATCACTAAAACCCTTGCCAGAGGCAGACCGTACGCTGCGCAACAGTACCGCAAAGAGAACACCTGAGGTTAATGCTACACTTTTACACTTTACATAGCAGAATTACAATTTACAGCATCAAAAAGGTTGTGGGATAGTTCTGAACAATGGCTGAACTCCAGCGGTTACAAATTAATGACCTTCCGTAGCTGCGAGCATGCTAATCCTATGGCTAAGAGAGGCTATTAGCTCTTTCTGTGCTCACTATATGATTAAATATTTCTAAAGAGCAGGGAGCCCAGCCACCCAATAGAGCCTGGCTTGCTCTTTTGTGTGGGGCAGCAGAAGGCCCTCAAAGCAAAGGCACAACTACCCTCTCAAGCAAGGTGTTCTTGCCTGGGGGCTCAACCACTCAGTCCTTCAGATTAAATAGACATCATTTTCCATTCTGCAGACAATGCATAAAGCACTGCCCAACTACCAGATATTCTTTTAAAAATATTTATGATTGACTTTTAAACTCATATACTCGTTTGCTGGTCTATAGTCTCAAAACTATTTACTCCATCCACATCCCAGCCTCCATAAATAAACTGATASCATTGGAGCTTGAAGGTAGGCTTCAAGATGGATTGGAGAGTGCAATGAATCAAAGAGATCAGGCAGTCCATGACAAGGTGACATAAGGGGTGCAAAGAAACTGTATTTACTGGTAGCAAACAGGGGGACATGCATCCTAGAAGTGAAATGTCCATGAGGGAAAGAAACCAATACAATAAACACAGTGGAACAGAATAGGAGCAGAGCCATGGAGGCTACCAGGAGGCCAGACAGAATGTTTGAACAAATAAAGSATTTCCAGAGAATTTGGAGAATTCCAGAGAATATTCTAGAGAATGAGGAGCTGACATCCAGTTAAGGACCTGCAGCACAGTTGCTGTCTTTGGAGAGCAGAAGGTTGACCAGGGTGTTGCTGCTGAGGAAGACTGAGGCCAAGAGGGCTGTTTTGAAACCACTACTTTAAAAAGATTCTTAGAGGTATCTAGTTTGCCCTAGGGAACCATCACTTAGCCTGTGYCCAGTAATTTGAGAGTTGCTGACTGCAGAATGGACCCACTGCTTTTCTGTGAGCAGTGATTCCCCACAATGTGCTTCAACCTTTGATGGATGGTATCATCTAATGGAGCTCCTTCTATGAATAAACCTATCTGGGCTATGTTCAGATAAATTAGAAAGAAGAGAGATCCTTGTTTTTCTAAGGAAGAAGACATCAAAATGCTGAAGATATTACTGAGCTAGCAAAGGCAACATTGGACATTAATGGTTACAGGCAGCTAGTTTCAGTTCTAGGTTTCTTCACAAGGACAGCAACAATCATCTAATTTGTGGCACAGGGTTTAGTTCACTGCCCCATCCCATTTCTAGTAGAAAATCTGCACAGAAAGTGCATTAAGGAACGACAAGGGAGCACTTCCCTCATCGCATCAAGGCTGTTGGAGCTACGTTTGACCCACTGCCAGCCTGAGCTGCCTGGCTTAGTGGCACAGCACCACCTTTTGCCCAGATGCTTAATGGGTCCTGTGCATTGCAAAGCGTATGTTGCTTGGTCCTGAGCAGAAGCAACCTATGACTTTGGGTTGTGCAGCCAGTGCAAGTGCCTTGACACCACAATAGTCTTCAATGGCTGAATTAAATTGTTTCCGGTCAGAAACATCTTCCTGGATAATATTCAATACTGAGGAGGTAAGAAATTGTTTTCTTTTTCATTTTGCTTTAATATCTTCTAAATCAGTGATTTTCTATGGACTTCTTAACTCCATGAGCACAAGGGAAGGCAGCCAGAGAAGCAAATCACCTGGGAGAGGACACAACGTGTTTGCTGTCGGGAGAAGAGCTCCTCTTAGCAAAGACACCAGAAAACAGTGTCTTTTCCCAGCTCAACCGAGTTGGCAATTGTTAAAGTCCATACTCAAGCAACTGCAGGGATATGCCCAATTTTAGTCGGTGGCCTCGTCATCACCTTGCTGCAACCACAGCTAAAAGCATCTAAATTGTCTTAACATCCCCCAAAGAAAAAACTCTGCAGCAAACTCTGCAGTAACTTCATGTCATCGGAAGTGAAAAGTTGCTGTATTTAGTTAAATAACTGCTGAATTGAACCAGGCTCTGTTTACAGAGCGCTGCAGAAACACAGCTTTTAAAGGACTACAAGAAAAGCTTGTATTATTCCTCACTGCAGTGCTGAAAGCCRAGCACACGCTGCTGGAAATGAAAGGGTGGGCAGATGATGGCATATTTTAAATACTATTTCTCTTTGTACATGCAGTGTAATGCCACCCAAGGGGGAGATTAAAAAAAAATCTGTAATTTTCAAAGTCATATTGAGGATGATATGAATTTCAGGGTAGGATTCTTCGGAGAAATCTCCTTGGAAAATGTGCAGCTACCTCYGGGAACCTTTGGATTTGCTGCTCCACGCTGGAAAGCTGCTCCCTCTTTTGACATTTCAATGTTGTTTACTCTTTGCATCTCATTTTGGAGCTACCGAGAAGCTTATCACAAAGGTGCATCTTTGACTAACAGGAAGACAAGGCGCTTCTGCTCCCTTCCAGATTTCTGAAATCCCTCGGTGTTGGTATGGGAACGTTTCCTGCCAGCAAGGATATGCCGTCCGTTACTTTTACAAGACGACATTAATTCTGCTCTCAGGTATTAGGGACGTAACCGATGTTTATGCGTGTGAAATACATTTCTTCGTGGCCCTTGGGAAAAACAGGATTGCCTGCAGTGATCTGAGCTGTCTGAAACCACTGCAAAAAGGTGCTGCTTCAAGGCTCTGGGCAGCCAGCAGCAGGGATAAGGAGAAATGCTTTCCTTAATAGACTCCCAGTAGATAGACTTTTATATCTTTCCTGTGTGCTGCCTTTCCTGAAGCATTACAGGGCACCTATGGATCTAGGAGAAGGGCAAGGCTACTTCCTRAGGCCCCCTTCTCTTCCCTAGCTGTCTCAGGGAGCTGATGCTTAGGCTCAAATTCACCCCCCAAGCTCAGGTCTGAGGAAGTGTCTCCCTCGGGTCCGATTAGCGAGGAGCTTTTGCCTTCACTCRCCCCGTGTAACGTGGCTTGAGTTGGTTATCTCCATCACACTCAAACTGCATCCACTGAAAGCACTGGGAGGACCAGCGATCCTGTGGTCTCCCCTTTGGGTCATGGCCACAACAACTTGTATTCTGAAGGGCTGAAATGCTCCAGCTCATCACTGAAGTATCAATTTAATGTAGGGTGGCGTCAGTCACAGGAAAAGCCAGTACCTAAGCTCAAAGCATACAACCTGGTCATCTTTTCCTCTTGAATTCCCTTCAGCCTAATTTAATTTTTGCCGTGCAGGAGCTGGACATTCAGCCTTCCTAGTCTGCCGTGTTCATCTACGTTAGTGCAGAGAAACTGCGTGAAGCTTTAACCCCTCTCCAAACCCCTCGAACCTCCAAGTTCTCCCACTTACAGCGAGACAACAACCTGACAGGAAACCTACAGTTTACTCAGCTCAAGACAGGCCAATTTTCTAAAATTAAGAAATTATGCGAAGAAAAGGTCTCCAAATATTTTATGTTGATACTTACTGCTCAAATGTTTTCACATCAAAGAAAACAGTGACAAAAAAACCTTCAAACGAGGATATCCAATCCATTACGTGGCGGTGAATCCCTCCTCACGCAAGACACTGGCACAGCTGCCTCTCGCCTCACTCTGCTGGGGGGTTTTTGCTACTAGCATGAACGATAGATTTTAATCTGGAAACACCTTTAGCTCATGTTTGTTTGGTGGGTTTTTTTTGTTAGTTTTTTGTTTTCTTTATTTCAATGAACTTTCTTCTCTTGAGTACTAGCATTGGATGATACTATTAGGATGAAAATCAGAAAGTTATGCCCCCAGCTTACACTCCTAAGACTCACAAGTCATAGCTGGAGTTTAGCCAYGTGAAAAACAAAAATCAATAGGCTCGCTGCTTTGGTAATAATGCAAAAGCACTATAAAGATCGTAGTCGTATGGCTTCGGCTAAAAATAAACACGTACAAACAAATTAAAAAGGACATACCCCAAATACAGATACACCATTCATTTCTGAGGAGCAATCAGTTGTGCTAAGAGCAGGAGCGCRGCTCTGAGCTAATCAAACATGATTAAAAAATAAAGACAGAACAACATAAGCTTAATTATTATTTTAACATGTTAAAAATACAGTCACATCAAAATACACAGTTATAAAACTGTTGCAGATGACATAAGAAAATAGTGTGTATATATTTTATATATAAAAATCTACAGTATTTACTAATGCYGATACATATTTTGGAGTCTTGCACAAATAAATTGTACAGCTTTGTTATGAATTACAGAATGATTGTTAAACATGGGATTATTACACTTAGCCACAATATTATATACATACATTTCTAAGCTGCTGTAAGCAATCAGAACTAAGGTAAGCCCAAGTCATATTTATCTTCACAATTTTAGCTCAGAGGTTCAGTGTAGTGCCTTGCTACTGTTACTTTGCTGCAGATTGCAATTTTTAAAATACAAAATTGCCCAGGTCATTAAAAATTACATCAGACRCATTATATACACAAAAAGAGTTTGAAACACTCTAAGTAAATGTTACTTCTGCTTGTAAAAATTGTTTTACTTCTGTACCTTAAAACTTACCAAGCCAACCTGCAGCAATAATAGGCACTAAAGCTCATTCTTTAAAGGAAAAGAAAAATATAATTATCCATTTCTACATCTTCGGTTAACAAATCTTACAAAACAAGAGACAAACAGGACAGCTTCCCAAACCATCCAAGCTGATGCTGGTGCCAACATTTGGTACTTGAGCATCGGAAACCCTCCCTGTTAAGCRCTCCAAGGACCTCTTCTGGCAGGATCCTGTCGGCCTCAACTCCCGTCGGCTTCACCGGACTCGGCCGCRCTCGGCACTTACAGGACCCACATCCCCTACGTGCCAGTTAGCCTGCAGATTTTTTCACCCCCCATTTCACAGTCGATGAAAGGAAAGGAAAACATGATGAAGCACAAAGGGCTGCAAACGCTCGTTAGGCTCAAAATACTTCTATTCTCAGCAGTCTACTGCGCTTCCTATTAACAGCCAGGATCATTTTAGTGTASAGCAACACACAGTCTCTCAGCAGCCTAACAGCCACACGCACGGCCCCACCGGCTCTTTGGGAACAGAAGGACAAGACATAACACGGACTTGACGGGACAAAGCTTCGGAGAAAGGACCCCGCACCCCACAGCTCGGCGGGCACCGAGGCTCCCCCAAATCTCGAGCTCCTGCACATGCTTCAGTGTCAAGGAGCCGGTAATTCCCCGATACCCTGCAACTAATCTTAGTTTGACAGCAGAGCCCGGCAAAACACGAAGGGTGCAGCACCATTTCTGTATCTGGCATGACCGACTCCGTGCTCAACTATTTTTGCATATAGGACGGCATCCTGAAGGTAGATTTGGGTGCAAAGGCAAAACCTCCCCACCTGCAATGCACCTCAGAGCCTGCAGACGTGCTACGCTCAGCCTGCCCTGATTTTAAGCACCGTTTCTTAGCCAGATTAGAGACATTTTTGGCTTTCTGGTTTTGCCAGCCTGCTGAGGAAGACGACAGAACAGTAGTCAAAAGACAAGAAATTAACTCTCACATAAGATTAAATTAATAACCCCAAAGCATCTCTCCTTGCAGAACAGATACTGGGATACTGAGGCAGCTGTATGAACAAAAAAGAGATTCCCATTCATAGTGAATGACTTATTGAATAAATTATGAAGAAAAATTAATATGAAATAAGAGTACTTCACAAGCTTTGCCCAAAATTAAATGCATTTAACTTTAAATTCTTTAGCTCTTTTCCATACGTGCTTGTGTATATAAGCACACACTCACACTCGCACGCGCTCACACGCACACTTACACAGTGCATTACAATGTCAGTCAAAATAAAACTTGTAAATGMGTTACAGGTTTTAGGCAGAAAGATCATAACACAAGTTATTCAAAGGTAAGGTACAGTGACAGTATTAGCCATGTTGTGTGTTATGATCTTATTGCTATTGCTATGTTTATGTGCATCAGATCACTTTCAACAGCTGCAATGCAAGTCTAAGAACTCTAGGAGCCTTCATGGAAAGTCTGAAACATCGTTCAACTAGTGTTGTTATTTTTCAGCGTTGCAGGAACTGTCCACATTTCACCGAGGAGCTGAGGTGGACTGCTAGTAACACAGCAAGGTTTAGCTGGTTTTGGTTTTTGATAGTTTAGTAAGTAGAGAGAGGTTCTCAGAGGAGCACGGACTCATGCACAGACAATCCATCGTTTCTATTTCGGTAGGGTTGGGTTTGAGCTGATGGACTCGGGTATGGTGGTGAACCATGTTCTTCAAAGGTTGGTGAAGTCCTGTATCTTATTGGATTATCAACAGAAATGGCAGGAAGACTGTTATCTTGGAAAGGTGTTGACTGAAAATGCTGGTATTTCTGGAAATTATCCAAGTGACCCTTGTTAGCATCTTGGCTCCAGKGTTGCCGATATGGCTCATGTCTATACATATATGCAACATCTGACCACTGCCTGTCCTCTGGTAGGTAATCCATTGGTGGGATTATGAATTTGACTCCTGTGGGGGACCTGGAATTGCTGGGATAAGCATCAAYAGGGGCTACTTCTATCTGACCAGGGCTTGGTGAAAGAGGATTTTGGCGACTGGCAGGGTAAGAATTCATTTGCGATTTATCTGGAGAATAATCCATGGAAATAAAAGAACCATATGGCCTACCAGGAGGGCTGGTTCGATTCCCATGGTAATGCAAGGGAACAGAGCTTGCATTGCCTATGYTGGAAACATGCTTTGGAGAATTTCCATGGTAAGTAGGTGGGTTATTGTAAGATGGCAGTGACTGCTTTACAYTGAGTCCATGAGATGGTCCATCAGATTGTGATGAGTATTTTGGAGATCTTGGCTGTGAAGTTGTAATTACACCTGTGAAAGTGTAATTATTGGATATTTTTAGCGGAGCTGGTATTTTTTCAGTTTGCTTTCTTGGACTGTTGGAGTATGTTACGTGCCTAGGACTTTGTGGGTGAGCTCTCTCAAGCATCTCTTCAACAAGATTCTCACTCTCATGATCAGCTTCTGGAACGTTGTCATACTGCGACGCATTCGACCCTCGCTTACCTTCATCAACATCCAAAACCCTCATCTTCTGCTTGACATTCAAAGGCTGTGTTTCTCCAGGACTTGGTGGTGAGGCTAAAATAGAATGGTTTATCGGCCTTCCTTTCACCTCTGCAGTAAGCATCATAGTTTTTTCAATCACTTTGATATCAGATGGTTTATTCCACTTCGGCACAAATTCCCTTCTTGTATTTGAAGTAGCATTAGAATTTTGGTTAGCAGCTGCATTATTATACTGTCTTGAGCTATCCTGCCCTGTTTGCTGAGGTTTCCTTCTGATGTCTACCTCATTCTTAGTCTGATCACTATGTGTGTCTATTGGTCGGGGCTTCTGCTGTTTTAAAGAAGGCTTTTTTTCCAGTGAATTAACTCTTTTTCGGTTATTTGGTGAACTTTCCAAACCTTCTGCAGGAGGTGCTCTCTTCTCTGTCCCTCTTGCTGTTTGTGTACCAGTGTTGTTCTGTCCGTTGAGCACTGGAGTGAAATTAAGCACAGCAGGCTGAGGTCCTGGTGGAATTTGCCCCAATGGCTTCTTTGGAAACTCATCTTCTTTACCTACGGTAAAGAACAGCAATAATGTAAATTTACCTTTATACAGAAGTTTGCTTGTGTGACYGTTAGAGCTAAGAAAATAATAATGACCAACTCGGTTAAGCAGGTCTCTCCCTATGGCACCATTCTGCTAAACACCTTCAAGCTTTTTTGTACATCCACATAACACAGATTTTGTTCAGGCTCTCATTTCTCAGACTTGCTGATTTTCCTTTCTGCAGCTCATGCAATCTTGACAAACTTTTGTTCATTCATGACACTGCTGCAAAAATAATCATTTTTGCACATTATTCTTCAGCTACATTAACCACATTGCATGTACACCTCACTGCCTCATCATCACATGACATAAAAACTACTTTCTGAGACCTCCTTATTTATCATTTTCCATTCAGTTATCTTTTAATATTTATCTTTGATAACTGCAATGTCAGCTCACAAGTATTTCCTTCCTAACTGACCTTAAACTTCTTCTCACTTCTTGTGTTTGCCTGAAGCTTCCCTCAACATCTGCACAGTAACACCCTTGTTTTGCTTCAACCCCTGTCTCAAAATCCCAATTCAGAGATTATTAAAAAGTCACAGTATATCTAAGAATCTCTACATAGATTTATCTATTTTTTCAATTCATTTTTTTTAAATCATGTATAAAAYGATCTAAATAACTAAGATTGATGTCATCTACATGAAAATTGTAGTGAAAATCTCCACAGGCAAGTTTTGCCAAATACTATTACCAAGGATATCATTTACAGCACAATGACAGAGAAGGAGAAATCTCCTAGTTTGGAGCTCAACATTTCACAACAGCCGGTGGTGACCACCAGCACTGTGTAAGGACTCAAAACAGTCCAGGTTAGAACTACACAAGTAATAAGGAAAAGTTTAAAAATCTTAGAAGTTAAAAATGTGTGTCTCCTTCTTATAAGTTATTTGCAAGTAGGTTTCATATGGCTGTAAGGTTCACATGATTAACCACATCTAAGTGTGTCCATCTTCAATGTGAGTGCTGTGGTTAGAAATATTGAGAGTCATGTTAATTTTTACAATCTACAGCATGAGATCAATCTGTGATGCCTAGTTCATGGTAGAGAGAGACACAAGAAAGATGTGTGCCAACATCTTTATTACAACAGCACCAACAAATTACCAGCAAAATCAGTTGCAATATACACTAAAAGAAAACGTGCCGTTTTAGCTAGTTTGTGCCAATTTGAGCATAACAGGAGAAAAAAAAAACCGCAATGAGACCATGTGGGCTGACAAAAATCACTAAATAAAAAATACTTAACAAAAGACTGGCTTGGCCAAAACCCATAAATTAGCCTTTTCTTGAATTCCAAAATTTTCACATGAGGCCTCTCCTTTAGAAATGGAGGTCAGAGCCCTCTCCTTTAGAAATGCACACTGGCAGAAGCTTCCACGTGCACACAACCACCCCAGCACCTACTTGGGCTTGCTGTAGAAAGGCCCTCCACTTATTTTCTCCAAGTTTTCCTCTCTTCAGTCATGATGATACCATGATTTAGCTGCACAAACCTCCTCTCTTCCAGAGAAACTGGTCAGTGTCCGTCTGTTRTCCTAAGAGGCTGCACATGCTGAGTGTCCCCCGCAATGACTTGTCCCCCAAATGTTAAATCATCTTTTCACACAGAGGAATTAYGGGATACAGTAGGAAAACAGCCCTCAATCTCTGTAAACTACTTGATTACATGGAGGGAACTTACAGTTTTGTATGCAATAAATTCTTTAGAATATTTTAGAATATTTTTTTTTTTTTTTTGCATAATGGATGGCTGAGCTTCAGTGATGTAAGAAATCAAGCTACATAAAAAGCCTGAAAAGAAGTTCATCCAGTAACTGCAACTCTTTCTTCGTTTGTACAAAGGGACTAAAAGCACCACATGTTTTCTTCCAGCTTCTAYTCTTTTAGAAATGCATACAGAGCAATATGGGATTCTTTGAAATACACCTGCTTGTACCAAAAAATGCTTTGTTTTAATTTCACAACCTTAAAAGTTCTTATTACTATTAAGGTTTAAGAAAATCTAAGTGAGAAAACTGTAGACATTTTTACTGAATTCTGTCTACACTGCTCTGAAGACTAATTTGTCATCTTTGCTTCACATTCAGGTAAAAGATCACATGACAACTGGGTGCATATGGTCTGCACTGTTTGGCTGATGCAGGCAATCACAGGAATTATAGCTGTGCAATTAATATCAAAGCAGCCCTACCATGTCTGTTGTGAAACTGTTAAAACCTGGAAATTAATTCATGTACTGAGTGATGGTCAAAGCGCTCGAAGATAACAGTAGTTGCCTCAGAAGAAAACGGTGGCATGTTAACAGCATGACACGAGGCTTTTAGCTTTTTATAGGCTGCTAATCCTGGAGCTCAGGGCTTGCAGAGGAAGCAAAAATACAGACCGATGTGTGTGTGTGTGCAAGGGAAGGGTCAGTGGGAGTAACAGGGGAAAAAAAATACAGTTTTATATCTCAGCCATAAGGTCTGGACAGAATTTGTATTAATTTACCTCACACTGAACAGAGACTGCTTAGTCAACAGCATTTGTGTCTCAGACTTTAGGAAAGGCTGGAGATGCTCAGTTTAGGAATCAGAGATACAAAAGCCTGCACTAGGTGCCTCCTGCCACAACAAACACCCAGGGGAAAGCAGCTCCACCAGCACTCGTGATGCTGCCACACGAAGACCCACAGAGAACCCATCATCCTCTAAGGGTAGCCTGATTTAAACTGTATTTAATTCTAATATTTAAAAATACATGTAAAATATATATACGTGCATGTACACTTATCTGTCACTGTCAGGGAACTACTAAAGTACTTTGTTCTTAAAATCAAGCAAAAACTCCTGAAGTCTTGTTTTTTTAAAAGAAAAYGAAAAAATTCATCAGGAAGAGGTAACTACATCTACCACACCATGCATGTTCATACAAGCAGGCACTCCTCAAACACACAAAACAACATGCAAAGTTTGCCTACGAATGTCTTAAGCAAGCCACTCTTCACCTAGAACAGCAAGAAGACAACAATGGTGCATGCTGGCAAGAATGGCAGGGGAAAAAAGGTAATAAAAGCAAAAAGCTGAGGAAGAGAAACCACAATGCAAAAGCAAACAAAAGAAATCCAGTCACATAAACATCTCCACTGGTAACAGCCTGCCAGAGAAGCATGCAAAAGCACTTAGGAGTGCATATCTTAGGAGCTGCATATCCTTATCTACCCATTTTCCTTTCCAAATCTGCCTAAAACCTTCCATGCAGCTGCAGCCCTCAGCTTCGCCACTGCAGCTAAAGCCATTGGTCCAATCCCTCAGATCTCAGTGTGCAGAAGTTTTGTTTGGATATTTTTCAAAGCCCTTAAACTGAATCTGCTTGTGCTGTTGAACCTTCGTCTGAGCTGCTGCTTTTTCTGGCCATGCCTGTCTGACCGAAGAAATGAGGAAGGAGAAACGTTTGAATTTCACAAAAAAAGTATTTCTGGGACAAGAGCTTTTCTAGGCAAATAGACATTTTAAAATCAGAACTTAGGAGAAAAACATCCAATTCAGCAGCAACCTCTATCATTATCACATGTGCAAAGACTTATGTCTTTGGGAGCTCACCAGGCAATCAGGCTTGTCCTGGGCTGCCAGGATTTGCACAAAATGCAGAACTGGATATTTCTCATTCTCCTCTCCTCGCGTCCTTCAACAAAACAGGTTTCTGGAGAGTTTGCTTATTGGGATTTCCCAAAGACAAATGTGCTAACTTACATCAGAATTTACAGAGGGGATCCTATGGGATTTWCTAATTGTCCCTGAAGAGAAAAGTAGCGAGTGATTCAGTTGCCCTGCTCATAGTGATAGCAAAAAATAAGCAAACAAATAAAAAGGAAAAATGGGTGGAGAGGGCAAAGATTGAGAGTAGCAGTAGAGGGAAAGAATTTAAACAAAATGGCAACAGTCAAGTGTTTGTTTGCTGCAGGGAAACCCAATGCTTGACACGAAAAGGAGCAAAGCAAATATGAGCAGACTTGTCTTTACCCCAAAAAGGTTTTAAAAAGTGAAGTCATATTAAAGAAAGTTTTGTCCTACCAACTTAGCGCTGCTCTGACAAGTCTTGGTCACCACCCAGTGGAAGTTGATCTCAACTACAAGACTGTACAGATAATTGCTTTAGGAGGCACTAACAGCCTCGTGCATGGAATAGCAGACATATAATTGGAGTAAAGTGCTTTAAGTGCTCTCTCTGGTGAATAGCAGTCTAGTCCTTAATTTTCAGTGCCAGAATACATGCACTTTGACTGTTCTAACAYAGTTTTCAAGGATGGTAATGGTCATAAAAACAACTCTTAAAATGACATCTTGAAATTTTGTGTTTATTTTCCATCAGTGACTTCGCTTCTTTCTTGTGCAGTTTACAAGTCCAAGAGAATTTTAAAGAAAGAAATTTAAGTGATTGCACTGCAAGCTCAGGCTGCTGTCTYGAAGTCAAGCTCTGTTCTTCCTCCTCCTCTCTGTGCCATCATCAGCAAAGGAGATACTGAAATGAAATCTTGCCTGACAACTTGATGGCAGAGGAACCGAATACACAGTTTGCCTGTCTGCAGCTTTGCCAGTTTTGTAGCACTCAGGCTAACAAAAAAACTTACTTTATAAACCTCTGCATGAAGATAAGCAAGGAAAAGATTAACAAACTTGGTGGGCAGTTCAAAGCCACATGTGACTAGATGCATCTACAAGGTATCTTATATTTTATAGTAAGTTCAGTCACTTAATTTTATATCACTGACTTCATTTTTTCCTCTGGAAATGCTGCCTTCTTGAAAAGGTCTGCCCAAGGACTATGAACAAYAGCCACCATTGCTACCTGCTTCATATTTAACAAAAACATGCAAGTTTTAAGCAGTAAAACTTTTTAAGTGATGCAAAGCCCATGTCTAAAACCTCTCAAATTCACACCATTCCATATATTAATTTCCTTCATAATACTGTAAATCACTCATATCACACCAGAAACAAGGCAGAAAAATTAGTTGATTAAAATGTGAAGTGCACTGTATGAAATATCTACTTGTTTATTCCTGATACATAAGCGAAAAATCCAAAATCCCTCTGAAATAAAACAAAATCAAAAGAGATACAGCATTAGAAACAGTAAAGTTGAATTACATACCACCATCATTTAGACTATCATAAGATTAACACCAGAGATAAGACATTATTTAATAGATTATTAGTTTAGTATATAATTTTGGGCTGCCACTGATTATTTAGAACAGACAACTATATGACTAAAAGATATTGAAAATAACTGTCATTTAAGTATAAATTTAAAGGCAAACATCAGATAAACATTTATAAATCTGTGGCAACTGTAAAATTTGAGTTTCTTTTCTAGTTGTCCCTGAATATACAGGAGACAGAGCCAACYGTGTCAAATGGTGCTACCCCATACAGAGACAACCAAGATGATCAAGAGGACAACAGCAGCCTCCAAATTGTACTATATACTATATATATAGTATATATAATATATACTATATAAAAACAGCCTATTTATATTTTGTCCATTAAACAGTATTTATTAATAGTAGCCCTACAGAGATAAGTGTAAAGCAGGAAATTTCATGCATATTTTGTGCATATTTTTTTCCTGTTGCTTTAAATAAAAGACAGGATAGAAGAAAAGAAAGAAGTCATATCAAGGAATTTGGAAACCAATGGCAGCTCCCAAGAAAGCTCCTTCCACTCTGCTCTAGGCTTTGTCTAAAGATCAAGGTATAGATTTGTCCGTCCTCCTTCAGATCTAGCTCCTTAAGAAGATGTAAACAGGGTTGTGTGGACTTATAGGGTGCTACTCAAGAACCTGCTGTGGCGTGGAGACCTTGATAATGTTCTGAGTAAGACAGAAAACGTTAGACAATTCTTTTCTTCTGAATCTGAGAACACATCAGAGGAAGCAGTAGTGAAAGCAGATAGATTATTCTGTACCACTATTGCAGCTCATCTTTTGAGGCCTTGATAAGCAAGTAGCTTGACAAGAAATGTGCTTATCCATATCTACTGTCACACAGCCTCTGCAAGATAGACCCTACTTTGGGTTTTGAAGAGCCTGTAGCTCAGATGACATTCTCATCGTCTTCCCCACAAAGCGCAGGCTGTCCTATACAGCACACAAACCAGAATTTATCAGAAAAAAAAATGGATGCAAATCCATTTTAATCTGCTTTACACAGAAGATCTCCACCACTGTCAAAGTGGTATTCAACTGAGGTCCCTGAATTAGAATGATCTGTTTGGCTGMACCCCTGGAATGTCAATGTTGAGCATTTCAAGGGTTTTACTGATGAAAAAGAATCACAGAAGCACAGAATGGTTGAGGTTGGAAGGGACCTMTAGAGATCATCTAGTCCAAACCCCTGCTCCAGCAGGGATACSCAGGGCACAGGGCAGCATCCCAGCGGGTCTGGAAGGTCTCCAGAGAAGGAGACTCCACAACCTCCCTGGGCAGCCTATGCCAGGGCTCTGGCACCCTCACAGTGAAGAAGTTCTTCCTCACATGGAGATGGAACTGCCTGGGTTTCAACTTACAGAAAGCAGCTGACATCTGTTCTGCATGGAGGAAGGAACTCTCTAATTCAGTGGGAGAAACTACAGGAGCAGCTAGCAGAGAAGGCCACCTCAGACACAGCCAGACATCCACTATACAGTAATGCAGAAGTTAATATCTCTTAATATCCTACCACAGTTTACTCTAGTAGGGCAGGAAATCTATACAGCCTACCAAAGGATGCCAGATGGAAAATTCCACAGAGCTTAATTAGCTCGCTGCTATTCTGGGATGACAGATCCTGATGCAACTGTCTGGTGGAGATTTTTTTTTTCCCGTTAAACACTCATTTTTATTTTAGTTCTCAATAATTAAAGGTGTAACTGTTGCTAAAAAAAAAAAAAAAAAAAAAAGGAAAGAATAAAAAAGGGAAAAAAAAAAGAAAAAACAAGGCACGAAGCAGAGTTCTGATTTCAGCTGAGAAAATTCAAAATACATATTAGTTTCCCAGGCTATAACAAATACCTAGAGCCAGAGTCTGGCATTTTTGTGTGYATTTCTGCATGGCATGTGATGATTTCATAACTTCTATACAGAACTGAAAGAAATATTGTAAGGACAGACTGAAGGGAACATAGACAGTAGTCAGACACGTGAATAAGRATGAATGTCTGGAGACTTGTAGAAAAATATTATTGCCTGAAGACAGTGATTAGTAAAAMCAAAATGAACATGAGAGTGAGGAAAGGAAAAAAATAAAATCAAAGGCTTGTGAAATTCATAAGAAGCACAAATGATGCAGTCTCAGTCAACTACAGATAACAGCAGACAAATCAGCTAGGTTTTCAAGGATGAGGATAAAGACATTTTCTATTTATTTTGCAAAAGGTTAAGTAATGTTCCCATTTACCCTCAGCAAAAATATGCCACRCAGAGAGACTTTCCCAGGCTACTTTCAAATGAAAAAGAAATAAAAAAGCTCACTCCCTCATCCAGCGCTGAAATATACTTCTCTGACTTTGCTCTCCTTGTTTTTATTTTAACATTAAACATTATGTTAAAAAAAAAAGTCATTTATTGGCACTCATGTTGCTTTTTTATGATCCAAAATAAAGACCAACATGGTTCAAAATAATTGCTGATATATCCAGTACTGGCATCAAGAGTCACACTTCTTAAGCACACAAGATATGAAACCAAACATCTTGCATCCCATTGCTGGAATGTCTCATTAAGGAGCTGTATTTGTTGCATTTTGCTTTGGGCCTCTACAAGATGACTCTTCGCATCTCACACTTCATTCTGCACATCAAAGTGGATGGTTTTTGTCACCTACAACATTTCAGAACATTTTCAAATAAAATTTCAGTTGAACATGCTTCACATTCACCCTAAAGAGAAACCGTGAAGCAAAGTAAGTCAGGAACAGACTTTCTAACTTCATCTTTTTTTTCTTTCAAGCAGATTTCCAGGCAATTCTGTTTTCCCCACAAACTCTCAACAAAAGTAATCCATACATGATTTCTCAGACTGAGAAACAATTCACTAACTCAAGCAGATAGCAATTTATAAAACCTCTTTGTTGAGYACTTATCACACCTTCAAGTGAGAACGAGTAACTTCTCTACAAACAAGCTAATTTTTTTGTTTATTTTGGCAGGGGAAGGAGTGATTGACACAAAATCATAAAGAACGGTGTATTTAAAATTTTACAGAAAACTCTCCGATGATCTAGTCCCCTTTCATCTTTGTGGAATTGACACTAAAAGACAAAGCTGGTCACTGACGTATTTGGTCACATGCAGTCACSATGATCAAGCATCAGGCAGGTGAAGATGTCTGACAAAGACCATGAGGAGAGTGATGGAGAGAGCAACTTGCACTGACGAATTAAAGAAGACTAAAACCCTTTTTTGGGGAAAAATAAAGGATGGAGAAAAGGTAGGATGAAAAGGCAGTGATTAAAAACCGGGAGAAAAAGTGTGAGCAGAGGTATGGGCAGGAGCTGTGAAGTTACTGGACACGAGTCCATGGATTAAGGGAAGAGAAGACTGAGTAGATGAGACAAGAAGAATGAATTTGCTGGGATTTACAAGGGGCAGGAGAAAGTGTGAGGGGAGGAATGTTACACAAAGTCGTAAGAAGGGAAAAACTTAACAAARGGAAAAAAAGAAGCTGGAAATATGGGACAAGAAGTCAAAATGATGGGAAGCAAGTGTACAAAGAGCGTCTGACTAGGCCAGAAAGACAAATCTACTGAAGAATCTGAAGAAATGCRTATCTATGAGTCATGATGGTCCTGAAACAGCTCAACACAGCATGCAATAAGGGGTACAGAATGGGAAAAAATAAGCTCTGTAATGAAACAACAACTTCATGAACGTTTTATAACAACAAGGCTGGACAGCCAAACTGTATTCCAATTTCTTAATTTTTTGAAGATAAACTTAACTTTATGATAAGGTAATTCTTGCYATATATTGTAACTTTATAAACCACACCTTCTTTCTTACATACTGTTTTATAAATTAAGAGGCATAATCAAGAATTGTGACTAACCATGGCAAATACCTTTAACTTTTTTCCTGTAATGACAGAAAAGATAATGGGATCTCAATACAGGAAGAAGAAACCATTAAGCATTTCAAAAGTAGCATTCAGAGAAATAACTGTCCCTGCTCTGTAACTGAAAAGCACACGTAAAGGCTGAGAACAAATGAAAAAGCAATCCAGTTAAACACCCAGAAGACCCATCACCTGCAAAGAACTCAAAAGCAAGATCTGGCTTAGGGGAGAAAGTGTTTGACCTGGTTTGTTCCAAAGCTCATCACACTGCAGAACAATTTAGTCTCAGAAAACATGTTGCCTCCAATAACTGGAAACACTGATTTTTTAAAATCTTCTGTCTTGCTCATCCAAGTTAATAAAATTCTCTGAATATGGGATGCTTTAAACTATCCTGCACTAAGTACTTTTCATTAGCTAACAACCGGCAAAAGCAATACTAAAACAGAGCAAACTCATGAAATGAAAAGTGCTGTTTTTCCGCTGTAAAATATATTTTTGGGAAAGAAATGTAATTATGCACTGATGAAAAAAAAAAAAAAAAAGGCATAAGTTTCAGCAGCATGAATTAACACTTTAAAAATGGACCATGTGTGAATAGCTCTGGGCATCTAAAGCTGCATTTGTACAAGTCTCTTACCAGCTGCTGGTAAATCCAACTTTGCTCGTTTCAATTCTGACATAGAATTTTGGAGCTGTTCTATTACAAAGTCATCTTCATAGAAGAAATCCTTGGCTAGAGTCTCCTGCAGAAATTCTACAAGCTCTTCCATTTGTAGTTTCATCAAATGCTCTAGGTAAGAAGAAAATATTAYAGATTAAAAATATCTTGAGGATGAACATTAAATTTAAAAGATATACTTAAGATATTAGATGTTTGTATAAATTCTCCAATAACTTCCAAGGTGAAATGAAAAACACCTATAAATTAAGCAGGAAATAGAATTCTACATCAAACAGAATCTATAAGATAAATTAAAAATTCACTTGTAAATTCACATTAAAATGCTTTYCACTTTATCTTGCTTAGGACAATGTTTTCCAATATGGAGCATCTTTGCAAAACAAAATCAAAGTCACCCTTCTTCAACCTTCCAATGCTATGTGCAACATTTTTTCAGTTCTTGATTTTCCAGCCTGCATCTGCAACTTACAAAATACTGTTGAAGATCTTCAAAAAGTTCATCCTGCCTCTGTTTAAAAGCAGCAAAATAGTCTAAAAACTGACATTTAAAATATATACATTCATAACTGAAATAACTTCCAGCAAAATGTATGTCAGCTCACAYCTCAGAGCCACTGCTTTAGGCTCTCTGAAAATTCAGGTACTTTTTGGTGCTTCAGTTAATTCAGGTCACATTTTAAAAGTAGTTTTAGCAGCTATCAGAGATTTATTTTTCGGTTCCTTTTTTACACAGCAATAAGTCCACGATTTCCATACAAATGCATTTTGCTTGCAAGGCTGTAACAGTGTACCTATGCAGTTTCTTTAAGCACATGTATGCTATCAGAAGTTCCAGAACGTACACATTTTCTACTTAAACCACCAAAACCGTTTTACCACTGTAATAAAAAGGCTCTTGGCATGTATTGCACAGTGACATTTGGCTTGAATAGCTATACTATCAAAGCTTTTAAAGCCAGAGGCCAATGCAAGCAGAGACTTATCAGATCAAAAAAAGGAATTTCATTTTTCTTCTGTCTTTTCCTACACCAATCTCTGCCACAATAGTCTAATCTTGGTGTTTTGGTTATGCAGAAAGTTGCTATGTACTATAATGCAAGCAAAGCTGCACTAGGACCTTTTCTCCTTTTTCTTTTTGCTCATAAAAACCAGAGTGATGAAAAAAAAGTTTGAGCAGACATCTATCTGTAAACAAAGAAGACGAACCAAAATACTAAGTCTTGCCTCAAAATGTTCAGCGTTCTTATGCACAATGATCAAATGCAAAATGAACAGACCATATTTGTTTTAATGTTTGTAACACACATTTTTCATTTTTCAAAATCATCTGCAAACTAATGAACATACCCCAGCAAGACAGTGATATATTATCACCACAGTTCAGGAAGGGTAAACTAGTAAACAAATTAAGACATCAGTTGTGCAAAAAGCTCCATGCATACAGGAAAATTTTGTCAAATTCAAGCCACAATGTATTTTACTGAGAAATGCTCAAGTAGTTTAGAAGCTAACACCAATTTTCAAAAACTTTGGGCATTCTTTGGAACTTATGGTACTAAACTGCTTCAGGGCACCGAGCATTCCTTCTCTTCAAAATTCTAAATCCTGGTTTTTCACTATATAGAGGTGGAAGAAAAGTCCATCCAAACAATCTATGAATTTTTTTAATTTGAATTACATTCTTAGATAAACAACGGTACAAAATGAGATACATACACTGATAATTCCTAGCTGCTGCTTTGCTTATTGATAGACTTCCAGGTATTTACTGCTACCAGACACACATTTTAGGCTCTGGATTCTTAGTGGATTTTTTTTCCCTCTTGCATTAATATAATACCTGTTGTGGCTAACAAGCCATTTCCAAATCATGGAACTAAAATATTTTTCCCTCATTTTCTAGAACCAGCATTGTTTAATCAGCCACACTGCTCACCTCATGTAGATGTTTAAAATAACAAGCTTACTGTAATAAACCTTCTATTTCTCTATGAGTTTCTTACATTCATTAGACAAGCAAATAAGCGAAATAAGCAAATGAGAGAAATATATTTTCACAAAAAAAAGGGCTACTCAAAATAAGAGCATAACCAGCTGAATCTCTGTTTAGTATTAAAATGTTTGAGAGATTTTCTTACTTCGATGTAATTTCAGGATTGTGTAAGACATAGCAGTGAGAACTCGCTCTCCTTCAAGTATGTAGATATCCCATATCCTGAGGCTTAATGTAAAGGGAGTCTGCAAAAGAGAATCAGCCAACAGTGTGAACACAGTTTGTTCCAACCCACAATTACAAATAAATAAATAAATAAATAAATAAATAAATAAATAAATAAATAAATAAATAAAATACTCACACGATCAAGGAAACATTGGAAAAACCATTTTGTTGTGTAAAAGCTTGTGGAAATCTCCTGGGAGTCCTGTAAAAGACAGTTAAAAAAAGACACTCACAAGAAAGTAGGAATACCCTGCACTGTCCATGGAAAGATATTTTACTCACTGATCAAATCATCTTCTGGCCACAGCACCCCAGAGTATTCTTCATTTCATACTAATTCAACTACAGTAAGTGCTATTACTTTACTAACAAATGCTATTTCCTTCCTTTATAGTTTCTCTTCATCAATTTCATCTTAAGAGATACGTGCTTGAAGATGCAGCAGCACAGAAACATATCTTAGACCTTCCTTTTATTCTTGGGACATGAAAAGGAAAGAATTAAATCCTCTCTCCATAAAATAAATCAACTATATTCTGGAATAGCCAGAGTCTGGATCCCTGGGTCTCTTTGCTCTTTCTTTTCTCTGCTTATAAGGCTRCCAGTTGTTGAAACAATTTTGTGACAGATACTTATGTACCAGAAATGGTCTAAGACAATCAATTTGTTTTAAAGCAAGACCTCAAAATAGTATCTGGATTTTATTTGTAACTACAGGGCTTAGTCTCCACCTGGCCCATATGATGCACCTTACTTGGAGATTTTTCTAACCTACAGAATGATCATTACACTACTGAAACAGCAAGATATAATGCAATAGGTCTTTCCCTGATAAAAAAGAAAAAAGAAGATATAGTTCTATTACATTTATTGATACCGAACTAATTCTCCCCAAAATATTAATAYGTTCCAAATAGAAATTTGTTCTTCTTTTCAGTTTTAATAATGATTTTTTCTATACCATTCCCCAAAAAGTGCCCAAGAGCTCTCTTTAAAAGAGTGCTATCAAAGCATTTAATTTCAGTTAAATTTTGCAAGTATTTAAGCAACTTCTTTTGCAGTTCTTTTTCAAGTATTTTCATTTTGCATTTACCCTAAAAAAATAAATCTACAACTTTCATTTCAGATCCAATCCAGTTACAGAACTGGTCCTGACTTAATAAATCTTTCTTGTTTTAATATGACAGGAGAAGACTGTTTTATAGAGCTAATTTTGTCTTGACCTTTTAATATAAGGGTTTTTTTTTCTAACCAGATAGGTCTAATTCTGTTTTGAGCAAGTTTCACAGCATGTTATCAAAGAAGACATTAAATTCTAGTTTATAATACAACAGGCATACATGAAAAGCAATTCATCATTGTCAAGGTGCTAGTTTGCTCCAAAATTGCTTTGTTTTTGCTAGGGGATAAACATACTAAACAGAATAACATACTCCTGTGAAAAAAAATGTTTGTAAGCAACTACAAGGTGTAGCTCTTACAAGCTGTTGCAGTAACTAAGCATCTCTTAACTACTATTTAAGACACAGAAATAGGGATTCTAGCAGAACCAGTGTGATTTTTAAAGAAAATTCTTGTCGACTATGTTACAACAGCATACTACTACCATTAGGAAAATAAAATACAGCTGSTGTTTGTTGCTTAGAATAAATATAACCAAAATTAACAAAAAGAAAGAGTAATTTCTTGTTTAAGAAATTTATGCGAAATAACACTCAGTATTTTATCTTTGAGCAAATGCTGATGAGTATGATCAAATTTTAAAAAGACCTTCCACTGGTCTCTTAATTGTTGCTTTTAAAATAGAGATTAAAACGAGTTGGTTGCAAAGGCATCTCTGTTCACAGACAAGGCATAGGAGTCTTTATGTGATATATTCTTGATAAAATGTTTTCAAGCAGTTTACTCTGCACAAAACCAAGCAGAAGACCTGTATTTTCCCCTTAATTCGGAGGTCAAGGTGACACACACAATTACTTGAAGATAATTAATTAGGTTAACCTASTGGGGTAACTAAACTGATCCAAGGTAGCAGCCTGCAGGTTACTACTGCTTCTACTGTGTTAGAAATACTTACCAAATGTTGCTTAAGCTTTGACAAAAATTTTTTCAGTATTTTGTCATGATGTTCTTGAAACCTCAACAGTTTTGGAAAACCCGGAATAAAAAAACCTAGGAAAAGAAGGTGACCATGTAACACATGTATGMACCATAAATTAACGGTATTTTAAAAAAACTTTCAGAGCACTGAGAACATGATCCTTCTAAAGATCACTGGATCTGAACAGATTTTCATAACAATGCTATTAAGCTCRTGTAAGAACACACATATTCTCCTGTCCTAATGACTAATAAAACATCAATACTTTCCATTAACGTCTATTTTTAGATTAGTAATGGTAGGTAACCRCAGTTACATCAAACCTACATTAGCCTGCCTCACTATAAGAGGATGTGGAAACCAGATTGAAAATTATTCATTTTTCAATTAAATATTTTATAAGCAAAAAACATGAATTGTGATTATGCCTGGCAAATTCAGGACAGAAAGGCAGAGAACACAGACAGCTCCTAGAACCATCTGCACTGAAGAAAAGACCATGAAGAAAGATGAATAAGAGGATTATTCTCTCAAGACCAACTACTATGAACAGACGATACAAAGTAATAACAGAGAGCTTACAGAATTGAATTTAAGGATATATATAAAATCTTTAGCAGTTTCACTGATAACACACTTGAAAAGGAAAGGACTAAGATCCCCTCCCATTTGAGTTTTCTGTAGAGTTTTAAAAAAAAAAGAAAAGCAGATGCTTAATCAGTCAAAAAATGTGAGAAATGTGTATGCAGGCAAGCATAGCTACACAGCAGGATAAGAGAGCATTCAAAGAAGATCCTTCAAAAAGCTTAAGCTGCGTTCAGATGAGAAAAGCTGAAGTGATCAAACGCTGGCAGATTAAATATCAAAATGCTAGAAAGCAAATCTCCCCCTAAAACTTATGGGAGACCTAAGAAATACTAATAAACTTATTTTTAAACACAACAGAAGCAGAAAATGGCGAATTTGTAGGGCAAACAATTATCATGTTTTGGTTTTTTGCTTGTTTGCTTAAATGTTCAGAGAAGATAAGCTCACGCTAAGAGAAAGTTATATTTCGCATGGAAGAAATCAGGGTGACCCCCAAACCAGAACACTAAACTTAAGGATAAATGAGCTGAAGCATCTCTTGCTTGAAATCTCTTCCTTAAAATACCAAGAGGACGGGAAAGTGGCTGTTAGATGTAAACAGTGAAAAACTACAGCTAATCAGCCATCATTAATAACAAGTTCAAAGGTGCTTTCTCCACAGAAAGTAGCTCGTTCAATTCCCATATGTCAACTCATTATCTTTATTTTTTTTTTAAGATTAAAAAGATCCCAAAGGAAAGAGCTTTCAAAACCCTAGACCACTTTCAGGGTCAGTTATGTGTATTTTGTCATTTACAGACTTCATGTGATACATAAAATATGAGCCATCCAAAGGCCAAATTCATCCCTCGCTTTCAAATGGTATAGCAGAGATTAATCTGACTATATATCTGTTTGGGATGCATGTGTTTGTCCCTCTAAAAAATATTCCAGGTGTCTAGATCACAGACAGAGGAGGAAAAAAAAAAAAGAAGAAAAAAAAGATGAAGAACTTGGTCTGCAGGGAGGAACTTTTAACTATCCTATTCTTGTCAGTACCTTTCTTATTTAACTATTTGGCCCATCGTGTAATTTTTATAGGCAGTCATTCATTTTGGAGAGCATCTGACACTGACTGGCATCAAGCTGGATAACAAAAGTTTTTTTTTTTTTTTAAGAATAGCAGCAATTTGGAATCTAAATGGTTTAGGCTTTAAGGAGTACCAGGTAAGTCAATTTTTAAGCTACCCTCCCACTCTCTAGAGTGATATTTCCAGTAATGCTGCATKGTGCCACAAACCACAGTCACAGAAAGGCTAGGTTAGAAGCAGCTTCAGGAGATTACCTGGTTCAGTCTTCTGTTGAAGGCAGGACCTTAGATTAGGTTAYTAATACTTAAATCACAGGTGAGAAGCAGCATTCATTTGCTTTATAATTACGCTTGTCAGCATTATCTATAAAAGGAAACTTCCTTTAAGAATGCTGCAAGGCCAGCTTGGATGTGTGCATGAAACCAATGCATGATGCTTCATGCGGTCTGTAAATTGAGTGATCCAGTCTCTTGGCCTCTCAAAGCTCCCTCTTTCATCACCCAGCTGGTCTGAAATGTGACAGGATCAGCCAGAAAGACTGAGCACTGAAGGTTTAAAGCACTCAAAGGTCTTTTTAAAGTTTGTAAATAAACAAAAAAATCATGATACTACTGCATCTATACAATACCACCATATCTAATCCAGTAGGGATATTATAATTTTGAAAATATTGTTAAATTACTACTGTACCTAGCCATTCCCTACAGTATAGAAACAATTTTCATAATAGAAGCTATTATTATCCCCTGTCAGACAATACTGTTTTGTCCAAAACTTTGATTTGAGGAAGTACAAGCAGAAAAATAACCAAGTCGTGCACTGTATTGGGGACAAAACATCCAGAAAGACTGAAAAATCAGGGGAGGGAGTTACCAAAGTATGTGGAAGTCTAAATTAGGGAAAAAAGAACCAGAATCTGCTGGAAATTTACTGAAAAGCCTTAAAATTGAAGTCATTCATATACTTACTTCAAGATAATATTTACTTTTTCAGGCTTCCAAGAACAGCAGCTCTTCTGAATAACGACCCCATTAACAACTACAGAAGAAGCTGGAATTCTTGGAGCTGTTTCATCACTAGGGGAGCAGAATATCTACAGATCACACTAAACTTAAAATGGAAATAGAGAAGCAGCAATACAAAAGTAACTAGACTGAAAGAAGGAAATTCTGTCTGAGGCAGAGCTACAACCAAGAAACTCAAAGCTAATCCCTCAATCCAGTATCTGTTGTTTACTTCGGACTCCCTTCCTGCTAAGTGATAGCAGAGACACAACATTATTTAACACATTCAACATTAAGTTTCCACTTGCTATATAGATGTCTACAGAAGCAGCTTTCAAGTGGCTATTTATGACAGATTAAGGGGAAATGAAACATCTGCTTTTCATTAAGAATTCCCTGAAAACTTGCAGTAATGGTTGAGTTCCAGTAAAATCCAACAGCCCCTACTGTAAGTGGAAGCTGTAAAGCTCCTATTATGTCTTATTTTAGAAATAAATACCAAAATAGCGCAGCCCTATTTTCAAATAATTACAATAAACAGMGCAGGTTGCAACCTAACACGTGCTATGTGAAGTTCCATACCATGCATAGCGTGCTTTGGGCTCGAGAGAAGCTTTACCAAGGCCCAGAAGGCATCTTCTTCATTCATGTACATAAGAAGCAAAGCTGTAATTTGGCTCATTCCCTGACAGTATCCAACCTCCTGCAGATTAGACAATGAAAATATTCAAATGATGAGAAAAAAACCAAAACACTCTTACTCACCAGCTGTTTTTTTCTGTCTGCATAGCATAAGCTCTCTATTAGACACTAATAACAGACATATATACATATATAACAATAGACATTTTAAAAATATGAAWTATTCCCAGACAGCACAAATGATGCACTGTACTCCATCTGAAAAGTACCTGGAAGTTTGATTGTACATTATAATTCTCCACTGAAACCCAACATCTTTGCTGATATAAATAATGTCAAATAACTACCTGATCTTAGCCTCAAATGGTTGCTTTTTCCCCGCTTAGTTTCGGGTTAGTATTTTCTAACAGTATAGAGACCACTTGATAAATGTGGGAGTTTTGAATCTCTAGCTATGAACCTGCCCAAGGACAGCAGCACATAGCAATCACATGCAACAAATATGCYAGGGAACAAAAAAAACCTCATGTTCCAAAACCAAATACGTGTCATCTTTGTATTAACTTTAACTCTGATGGCAGGACAGTCAACTTCTATCATTCAACTGCTCAGAGGACACAATACGATATTATGGGACAATGAATTAATTGGTGAGGGATGTTTTCAGATTTAAAAGTTATTAGTAGAACTAATCTCTAGATTAGTTCTCTAGAAACAAAACCAAAGCACTTAACACTTTGCACTACATTGAGAAGAAAAATGCAAMATAAATGCTAAATAAAACAATTCCCTTCATTCTTCCCATCTTTTGTACAGCAGCAGTTGACTAATATTTTTCATGCAATTTGGAATTATTATTTAATCCAATGTCCTACAGAAGTTGCCTGAAGATCCAGTGTTGTATTTCTCAATATGTTTCAAGGCAGCTCACAATAAAAAGCCAGACAACATATTAAGTAAAAGAAAATATATTCCATGCCTTAAAAAGAGAAGTGCAAACTCTCTCACGGGCCAAAAAAACGTGAAGAGACAGAACTAAAACAGGAAAGAAAATTTATCTACATTTTCTAGAACGCTGAAAATGAAGGAAAGCGGTACCTCATTTGAATGAGTACTTAGCCTTCAAATTGCAAAGAGTTCACCCTTTATTTCACATATTTTAAAATTCACAGAATTCAATAAAAATATGTGATGTCATTTACTAATGAATGCAAAATGACATATCTATAAAAATACCTAAGTGGGTAAATTTAATGAGAGAATAGTGTGTAAAAACATAGCTGTGGACATTACAGCTCTTCTGTTTCTTCTATTTTTAGCAAGTAGCCAAGAGACATGACAAACTGCAGCAGGTTCTAACCCCCAAGAATCTAGAATCAAGTCTAGAAACTCCAATTCAAGAAATCCTCATTCTGCATCCAAGACCACAGAATCACAGAATCCTTAAGGTTGGAAGGGATCTTTAGAGGTCATCTAGCCCAWCTCCCCTGCTCACACAGGGTCACCTAGAGCACGTGGCACAGGGCTGCATCTGAGCGTGTTTTGAAGATCTCCAAAGAAGGAGACTCCACGACCTCTCTGGGCAGCCTGTTCCAGTGCTCTGTCACCCTCACTATCAAGAAATTTTTCCTKAAGTTCCTGTGGAACTTTTGGTGCTTCAGCTTTTGGTTGTTTCTTATAGTCCCATCAGTGGCCACCATTGAAAAGAGGCCGGCCACCTCCTCCTCCCTCCCTCCCTTGAGGTATTTATACACGCTGATCAGGTCCCCCCTCAGCCTTCTCTTCTCCAGGCTGAACAGGCCCAGCTCCCTCTGCCTTTGCTCATAGGGCAGATGTTCCAGGCCTCAAAGTTTACTGTGGACCAGGACTAGCTTTATTAYCGGAATATACTTAAATGTACATACAGGAGCATTTCTAAATGAGAGCTTAAGTTCAGAAGACTCAACCTTAGAATTATTTTCAGCTTGTTAGAACCCTCCAAATTGCAAAATGTGCCCGTTTACTCCAATGTGCATCCTTCTGCTGTGTGTTTTCCCCCCATCATAAAGATGAACTTAGCGGGAGGCATATAATAAAAATAGAAAAAAATGTCAGCAGTAGAAAACTCAAGCCCAGCACAAATTCACTGCTCTCATTAGCCTCTAAATTTAATTTCAGTTGAACTGTATGCACAGTCCTGCATGTTCAATAAAACTAGATACTCACAATCAAGATGCCTTRCTTTATTTTTTAACTTCAGTTAAAACTTCAGCGGCTCAAAACATGACAACAACAAACCACTTATTTCTTTAAAAGCTTCAAAAACTCTATGAAATGTTCTTTTTTGGGAGGGGCAAACAGGATACAGAATTGCAGCATTATCTTACAGCATATTCAGAATAACCACATTTCAGTAAAAAGAACTGCATGACTTACCGTATTGTACATGGAATATGCAGCTAAAACATGGAATAAAGACTGTTGCCTGGAGAAATAACAGCAGAAAAGAAATATAATGTAATATTTGGGGTGGGTTTTTTTTTTTTAGCAGACAAGCATAAACATACTGAGCTATATTTTGGGAATCTGTTTCTCCGATTTAACTTCTATAGTGCTAAGTAGGAAAAACACTTTACATGGATGCTGCACCTCTGATTTATAATTGACTAATGACACTTAGCATTTTTCTGCTGTTTTACATTTTAAAAAGTTCAAAAAAATACTTATAATGCTGTGAGAAGGCAGTGGTGACAGACCATCGTTTTTACAGACAGAGAATGTGAAACACGGGCTAGRCCACATCTCAAGCCGATTTATTCAGAGTGAAAAGCGTTCAGCACCGCAGAGCAGATGTCTGAGTTTGTAGAACACTAACAGTTGTTATTAATTTCAAAGAGAGACATGGAAGAGGTAACATATACAAAGCATCCTCAAAGGTGTCTTAATCTGGGCATCCAAATCAAAGTCTGCTTTTAATACCCTAACTGACTGCTACTGTCAAACGGAAGCAACATCAACTCTGACTCTCCATCCAAGCTCAGTCCTCCAGAGTACAATGACCTCTGTATGTACCTTCAGATTTACTACATTTAAACAGCTTTAAAGACTTGGAGGTTCTTTCCTTTCCTTGAAAAGTCTGCCTTATCTTGTAGGAATCCTAATTTGTGAAGGCAGTAGGACTAAATGTCTATATAGATTCTGTTCTCTCCATGTTGGGACATAAGTAATGACAACTATATATCCGTGCAGAGCTCCCAAATGAGTTTTTAAACTCACACCTTTCTGACATTTCTTGGGGGAGAGAATTTGGGGATGTGAATGCCAGTTTGAACCACATCTTAAACTGCTAAAATTTGTCTGTTGAGTTTTACCTGCTGTCCCTCGTGACCTATGAAATTCCCTCTGCCTAGTGCTAATCTAAATGTACAGAAATAGCCRACAGCAGGTTGGAAAAAAAAGAAAGTATAAGCAAAAAGCTGCACATTTTCTACTGGGAAGAGGATGCACCTTGGAGATTTTTTACTGAAGAGCCCAAATTATGGCATTTTCCCCTACACTTTTGCAGAAATTGGAGTTTAATCATTCTTCAGTAACCAAAGTGTAAAGTAAAGGCAGTACATTGGGCTTTGGTCTTATTTTACAAGGACAAACCGAGATACAATTAGGACCAAATAGCAGGGGAACCTTTTACATCTTCCAAAAGGGGAATGTTGATCACATGAAACAGCGCGACCTCACTCACATTCAGCTTCATAAAGCAGTGGTAATTTTAGTACTATTTACACTGGGTGATATCTCTAAAGACCTAGAAAAGAACAAATCTTTCAAAGCACTGACTACTGAAAAGCCAACCAAGCTATTGATTATCCTGAGGGACAAAAACAACTAGACTTCATTTCATTGATATGCCAAATGACTTTTGAATTTGCGTCAAGGCATCACTAGAAATATGCAGCACATGTAGAGCAAGTCCACAAACTATTCCAAGGGCAGAAGTGCTTTCTGCAGCCAAAGGCTTTCACATGGACTCTGCAGGTGTGTTTGCTCCACGGGATGGGAGCTGTGTTAATGCCAACCTGGTGAGGGTGGAGAGCTTCTGCTCACAGCAAAGTCTGCGGGCAAATATAATAATTATAATTTGTCTGCAAACTTCCTCAAAGAATGATACAAGAAAATGTTTATCATCATGTTAAAGCTCTCTGAGGACAGCTTTTTAAAAATGGCAGATTACAGTTGAATCTGCCTTGGAAAGAAAAGAAGATTAAAAACTGAATTAATACACTCAGAGAAGGGGAAGAAACACCCTATTCATCTCAGCAGGGTGCTGATGCTGCGAGCTAGCAACAATGCTCCTGTTTGTATTGCCTCTTATTTCACTATCACGCATTTTGAAGATGATAGCTGCTTAATATTCCTCATGCAATGATAGCAAAAAATATTTTGAGAAAAAAAATAGCATTACAGCTTATATTTGTAAATAATTAAGTGCTCCTATCTAAAAGTACTGTTTTATTTGGTTCCTAAATAGAAATTAGGAGGGAAGGAATATAAAAATCCAGAGGAAGAGTAAAATATCTGGGAAAGTAAAAGGTATTAGAGATGTGAAAGGTTGTTCTGTCTCAAAACAGTTAAATGCAGGAAGTAGTGTAATTAATCTCAATTAATTAATTCAATAACTTGGTATTTCTGTTTGTTGCATGTACAATAATTGAGACTTTGTTGGCTTYAATAAATTTCACAACAAGAGGAGARCACTTTAGAAGTGTTTTTCATTAGAATGCTAATGACTACAGCATATAGTTAAGGAAAATGRGTTTCCTACAAATAAATACTTGTTTTTGCAGTAATAAAAGTAATTATCACACATACATTGTTTTGCTTTGAAAAATATAAAGTGTACATTCGGTGTGCTTGGACAKATCAAAGAGGTTTCATATAGGTCAGAAGCCAATTTTAAGATAAATAAATAACTTTTAAGTTACTTACTTAACACCATATCTGTCTCTGAACATGATATGATCCCTATATGTTCGATTTACATCGAGATCAATTTGTCTAATATCTGGCGAAGACCCTCGTGCTTCACACTTCAATTTCTGGGAAAACAGGAAGGAACAGAAATTAAGTTTACAATTATGAGTTCTAAAATATGAGAAACCTACCKGAGCTTATATCTAGACTAAAGCCTCTGCCATCTCAGGATTCAGAACAATGGCAACTAACAAAACAACAATTTTCATTTCCAAGATGTGTATATGTAGACACACATGTACAATCAGACATATGTTCATGCAGTATAGATGTTAAAAAACAACCCTACAGTATACATTTTGTATTATATCATTCACTACCCATATTCAAGGCCATATTTCTGCATTTCAAAATTTTTTTTTGGCCATTTTTCATGTAGGTACMTGACGGCAGGAAGACAAAAGGGAAATTCTGTTATTGAGGAACAAGTTTCTAGAATGTATTTGCTCCAGACTGGACTTTTAACAAATTATCACTGTGGATTTCACATTTTTCTTGTCCATTTTTCTTAAGCAGAAGTACTTAGCTGCTCTTTTCTATTTTTCTATTTTCTTCCTAAGCTTAGACAATAACTGGACATTTCTCTAGTCATTTCCCTCAACTTTCTTCTCTAATCCAATTCGGTGGTAGCATAACTTCATTTTATCACTTTTTAAAAGTTCTCTAATTAAATTTAACTTTGCCTACTTTAGAAAGCCTGCCTGGGCTGGACTGCCACCTTATTCTTTTTACATTAACAATATTTTTACCTTCACATTCATACACTTATTCTCATTTTTTGTCGCTAAAGGCTGAATTTGCAAGGCAATCCTAACCAGGTGAAACACAGTATTTTAAAAACAGTACATCTGAGTAGGCATAATGATGAAGATTAAGAAGATTAATAACAAAGACGATTAAGAATAGATTAATAAATGCCTTGCATGGAGAAGTGCAAGAAGCTCTTGACATGTGCAGTGAGTTTCACCTAGAGCAAAAGCATCTCTTCCTCTTCTTACTTCAGAATGCACAACTCCTACGTGAGATTCATAACGGAGTGTTTTAATGCCACTTCACCAAATGGGAAAAATGGAGAGCAATTAAATGAGCTTATTGCACATAAATAACATGAACAAGCACGGAAGTGATGGACAAAACTCTTTTTACCTCCTTATTTCACTACAAAGCCCTTTTTTTTTTTTCTGCATTGAGCACTAGATGGCATTAATAATCTCTGAAGATGAATTCACGTAATTTTAAAGGCTTGTAGTTTAACTCCATATTCTTCCCCACAGCTACATTATTCAGCACAAACTTCATTTTATCCTTTTAGGATGTGCCTCTAGACTTACTTATGAAGTTAAACAAAATATAATAGTCAGAAAGAGCAGGCTGTCAGACTAAAGAGTGATAAATAATTCAGGAGGAAGACCACAGGGACAAAAAAATTTAGATAACATCCCTGCCAACATCCATCTTCTTTCACGACTCTATGAGCTACCCTGCCTACTCRGATCCAAAGCCTCAGCTCCTGAAAAATGCTATTAAAAATGTCAAAACCAAACCAGCAACGCATTTCTTTGAAACTCTGGGCATTATTTCTTAAAATCCTGTGAGCATTGAAATTCCAGTGGGGAAAGATTCAGATACTCTACAATACTAAATTACCTATCTCTTACCTTCTGCCTGTTACCCCTTAGCACTGAGGGAAAGGAAAAAAAAAAGAGTTTTAAAGGATTTAATTCCTCTTCTACCTAACTTATCATCCTGCACATGAATCTTATTCTGCATTTATGGATTTATGGAGTTGAGCTCTGAAGGCAGGCAGATCTACTAACTCCCACAAAAACACTGGAATTAGTGGGAAAACAAATAAATTAAGGAACAGAATAATTCAGAGAGGGGTAGCGGGATTTATTGCCCAGGGCATTACAGGAGGATATCCTCCCAAAAATTTTCTTTATATTTAAGTAGATTTATTTAAGCGGTCAATTTAGGTCTGTGGCATTTCGTGGAGCTGCACCTTGGAGTAACTGAACAAGCAGCACTTTGCAATGAGTATCTGAGTTCCTTTTGGGGATGAGATGCCAGAAAGATCATCAGTTTGTGCCAGCAGGGCCACCTCAGCTTCTACAAGATTAATAAGGCATCAACCCTCTAAAAATACTAGAGCTCCTTTTACTGGTTTTCAGCTAATATGGTGCTTCCTTAATAGAAATTTCTCAAGGAACAGCTGTAGTTTCAGAGGTTTCTGTCTTCTTGCTGAGAAAGGGGTTTTGTCCTGCTTTGTTCAGCTTCGCTTTTAAGAGGACTTTGGCAAGGATTTCAGGGTGGTAGAAGAAACGGAAAAGAAAGACAAAATTTAATTAATTACAGATTGAAAAAAAGAAGCTGGTAAAGTATTTTGCAAAGATATGGCCTTTTTTTTTTCCCCTAGCTAATAACAGTCAGGYTAAATGTATATTCTAATCCTTCTTCCATGCCATGTAATAACAAAAGTTTAATAAAACCTACAGTCTAAACATTTAAAATTCTTAATTTTAATATTAAGTGGAAATTCTGCAAACTCACATTATAAAGGTCTTTTGTTTCTTCTTTCATTTTAGGAACATCAAGTAGCAAGGACCAGACCTGCCCTCTGAATTGCAGCGGGATGCCTTTATAAATTCTCCTATGAAACTGTAAAAAGAAAAGATAATTGCAGTACAAGTTACCCAGTGCTGAACTAAAGAAACAGTGACCTACGGAGGAAAAGGCAATTATATAAGTTGTACAAGCAGAATGGCCTATCAAAATTGTATCATCTCCGCTGTTTAACATTTGCTCTACAAATAGAGGAATGAGGGCTTTGAATTTGATATTTCACATACAAAAAAAATTACAGCAGCACAAATTTCYGGAGGAAGCCACAGATAGCTCAGCATAATTATGAACGATACACGGGGATGGCAAAAGGCAACAGGTAACATCGCATAGAGCTTTGGAGCTTAACAGCAACAAGGCCGAATTCTTGTAAACTGCAACACTGCAGTGCATGTACACAGAGCACCCCAAAATGCCACATCTCAGGCAAATATTTCACAGCATATTTTAATGTATTTTTCCTAAATGCACATTAGGACATATTTGTATTAAAACAATTTGGAAAAGATTTCATAGCTATGAATAGCCTAACACCATTATACGTAACTTTTTTTGCTGTAAAATAGAAAATTCCCGTTTCATAACCCATGTATTCTGATACACAAATCTGGTATTAGAAATGGGTCTGAAGGGGGACAACTGAGGACTTGTGCACTCTGGAGGAAGTAGCCTTATCTATATCTAGCTGTACCTATAGCTGTATCTATCTATAGATGCAAGTACTGCCTYGGACACGTCCCTGCTCTTGTGCTCCGATTTACTGCTTTGCTTCTCATGGGGCTTCCTTGAAAAGATAAATAAATACATATCAAGACTAAAGCAGTTGCCTTCCTTGGTTCTTCTCCAATTTGCATCTCTGCAAAGCACACAGATCATCTAAAGAGAGAAAAAAAGGACTAGTTGTCTTAATCCTGGCTTTAAAGGACCGGCAGAGATTCAAGGCAAGCAAAAGCTCAGGTCAACCAAAGAAAAAGAAAAAGAAAAAGAAAAAGAAAAAGAAAAAGAAAAAGAAAAAGAAAAAGAAAAAGAAAAAGAAAAAGAAAAAGAAAAAGAAAAAGAATCTCAAGACATAGCTAGAAAAGGCAAAAGCAGAGAACTCTAATAAAGAAGCTTTCTGAAGCTCTGCTTTTACTATTATTTTAATGATGGCACAGAGACATCATTAGATAGACCCGTTTGCCAGTTTGGGAAGATTAATGAACACTCAGTAACTGTATTGGTAAACCTCATGCTGCTTAGGCCATCTTCAAAGCACACCGTCTGGATTTTAGGATATGTGATCTTTTCCCAAGTATTTTGAGGGCCCTTTAATGGGAACACAGTGTACAGCAGCATACAAATAAAGCCTGCAGAAGAAACATGGTATTTTTTGTGTCCTCTTTCAAGCCAAAATTCTTAACTCACAAGATGCTACAGCAAACCCAGAGGCTGTCACACTGCTTAGCCACAGAAAGACAATGTTCAAGGTACTGCCTAAGAAAACYTTGCTGCATTTAATACTATTAAGATGACCTACGTACAAAAAACTTCAGTCATTTTAATATGTACACAGTTATGTCTGCATAGGTTTCTCCTGTCCAAGGAGAAAGCTTCTAYAGCTGTATATCCAGACTTCAGCTCATACAGAAAATACCACTCTTTTTTCAACCCAAATGCACTGATAAAGGTTGTGAKAGAGGATAATTCTGTCATTTGAAAGCCATGAAACAGCAGCTACAGGAGTGTCGKTCTGCAAAGAGATAGTGTTGGTTGTGTGTCCTGGAACGAAAATGAGTCAAATCTCCAAATTTTCTAAACTTTGGTTAGTAACTAAGGTTTAGCAAGCTAACTAGAAAGAATGAGAGGTCCTAATCAATTTTAAGTTTTCTTTAAGTTTTTCAGACCCACAGTGTATAGCAATAGTGCATTCCCAATAACAATTTCAGTCTTTAAAGGAAGAGCCTGGCTAGAGTCTGCTATCTATACAGGACATAACTGCAACTTGACAACAAAGTCTTTCATGTCCCAGACTATCACACAAACAATGACAAAGACACCATAGAAAGATGTGCCCTTCTAAAATTCCAAAGGAGCAAAAAGGAGCTTGAGGAGCTACACGCTTGAGAAGAAGCTGGATGTGCAAATCGAACAACCCAAAATCAAAGAAGATGCTGTATGAAATTCATTCTTTAAAAGCTTACAAAACAAACCAAAACACTCAGATTGGGAATATTTCAAATAAATACTAGTTGTCATCTCAAATAACAAATCCCATACAGTCCAACATTCAGTGCAGCCTCCATATGAAAATATGGGAGATTTATGGCCTCCCCTTCCCCAATCTTTGATGTTCAACTGGTTCACAGCCAAAAAACAGGGCCACTATTACACAGTGCTGGTCTGAAGGGTGGGCACTGCCATTCTTGCTACCTGGAGACATGAAACTGGCTTTCTTGAAAGCAAAACTTTCTTTTATGTCCAGAACTGCACACAAGCAGAAGTTGGCCACCTCAAAGACAAAGAAATCAGTGATGAGAAACATAAGATTAAAATCTGAAGTTCTATAGGAAAGTATATTCATAAGGAAAGGAAAGAATGTCCATAAAAGCTGCTGCCTTTAGAGGTTCCTAGCTGCCGTGGATCACATATAAGAAACAGAACATGCAAAACAGATCTGTTCAACACAGACATTGAGAAAAGCTCAGGAACGTGGAGCAGGTTTCTTGGCACATCCCCTGTGTGTGCCAGCACAGCTGGCAAACACCAGGCACCCCAATCATCTCCCCCCTTCCCCTCTCTGTTCAGACAGCTTCAGTTACAGATTGCTAAAGGAAGACAGTGAAGGACAAATACTTTGGTGGAAATACTCTAATGGGAATGTAATGTGTAACATTTGTACTTGCTCCATCCTTGGGTCCTTTCCTCTCCTCCTCCCTCATCTGCATTTTTGAGATAAGAAAAAATCTCTTTATTTTTGAGTTCTGTACAATCCCAAGCAACATCACCAGGCTCTCCACAAACAACAGTGAAAAAAAATACTGTCTCATTCTCCACTGGGAGGAGGAACAGGCTGAGGCTCGACCCCATGTTCTGGTTCACTTACCACATAAGACGCAAGAACGAATAGGGAAAACACCCTTGGTTTTTAAAGTCTGAGTGCTCTAAGAGAGCTCAACAAGCAGCAAAGATTTTTCCTAGCCCCYAGCAAAGTCCATGCTGAATTATTTCTGCCATTGTTTACAGTCCAGCCTATGGTTTGTTACATTAACTGAAGCTCCTTCTGCTCAGCTGCTCTGCAACCTTCTGTGTGGCTGGTGAACTGCAGATGATTCGGTTTAAGTCAGTGTAAAACGGGCTGATGTGAGCGGGTAGAGAGGAAGACCTTGGCTCTTTGCACAACGCAGAGCCACTTGTGTTCCCTGAAAGGTCACACGTGATAATACTCTTAGCAATTAAGTAGATGTTATACAAGCTGTCTGATGACCCCTTTGGTTTGGGAAGATGAGTCATCTTCATATCACCCCTCACCACAACAAGAAACACGGCCAGAAGTGTCATGACCTTTAACTTCTACTTTCATAAAAGCAGACAGGATAGAAACTAAAATAGTGAGAAAAAAATGGAGTAATAAATTATTATTTTTTCATGCATTCGCTTCATATTTAAAAAAACATGAATTCACTAGTTTCCCAGGAATACCTAGAGAAACATCAATCACAGTTTGGGCATTTTTAACAAAGTGAAGCACAGGACAAAGTTAAAAGTGTCAAAAGCAAAGGCAGCCACAAGGTGCCACAAGCCTGGGAGACAGGAGCAAAATTCTCCCTCTCCTTGAGCTGCAGCATCTCTTATGTCTCAGCAAAACACCCTGCCTGGCAGGCTAAAAAGTATTGTGGTCTCTCTCTGCCCCTTGGAAGTCTTTTCTCTTTGCAGGGAATAATTCACTGAAACAGAAGAGCTACAAAGGACTAAGGTGGCTCTGCAGGCCGGTCACTGAGGCAGTGACCTGAAATCACAGAACGGTTCAGGTTGGAAGGGACCTCTAGAGATCACCCAGTYGAACCCCCTGCTCCAGCAGGGACACCCAGAGCACGGGGCACAGGGCRGCATCYAGGCKGGTTTGGAAGATCTCCAGAGAAGGAGACTCCACAACCTCCCTGGGCAGCCTGTGCCAGGGCTCTGTCACCCTCACACTGAAGAAATTCTTCCTCACATTGAGAGRAAACTGCCTGGGTTTCAACTTGTACCCATTGTCCCTTGTCCTGTCACTSGTCACCACTGAGATGCATGATATGTGTCACTCAAGCAAAGGAGGCCCAACAGCACCAGACAGCATCAACAAAAAAAAACTGGGAGGGAAAAAAATGCAAGATTTAAGCCCCATTACTCGAATCTGAGAACCTCCCACCTCATGCATTAAGCACTGAATAGCCCGAGCAGGAATAGTTACAAAAATCTCATCCAAAGTCAGTGTGGGGAAACTAATCTCTCTATTAAGTCTTTCCCTAACCAAAATTCTCTATTATATTTACTACCAGTTTTAAGATGATCAAGACTATATTTCCAGCAAATAAACTACTTGCATGAAAAGTCCTACCTACTCTTTAAAGCAAGTGAGCACACTTATCACTCACTGACATACCTTATAAAACCGGGCTTCTACATTTACCCACACACCATCATTTGCTGTTTTTTATTTTAAACAAGATAATAAAAAAAGTTCTGTATCTGAAGATCCCAAAAGCATCTTTWAGATAATTAACAGCAATTCATCTACTTAAACTCTAGGTGTACCTTTACAAAAAAAAAAAAAAATCCTTTGATTCCTCTTTTCTAATCAAGAAATGTCATAGTACTCTAAGGTATTTTGAGCAGCTGCCACAATGTTTCAGGGATAAAGCAGAGTTAAACAGGCCTTCCCTACTGAAAAAAAGAAGCYCATCAAGATGAAGCATCTTATTCATAAGTAGATCCCATTCATATCATCAAAAATTTCAAGCCTCCGAACAATAGGAATGCTGCATGGCATGTTATTCACAAAATAACAGAACTATTCCAAGGAGGAGTGAAAAACAACAACAACAACCAGAAAAGGCCTCCCATACTTGTTAGTTGAAAACTTCCTTGTTACAACTTCTCCTTTTAACAAATCAACCACGTATCTTCAAGTATCCCAAAATATCATGCCTGCCAGCAAAGATAATTTAAACATCAAACTACATGCTCCATTTTATGACTAATCAGTTTCCTTGGAGAGTTATTTAAGGCAGTTTTCACTGAACCATGGCTGAAAAGCTCTCCTAGGCAGCTCAGTAAACCTGGGGACCAAAAAAAGT